AAACGCACCCAGAAAGCTTAGGCACCAGCTGGCAAATACATTAATTCCAGTTTTGTTTAGTCTCGCAGTTTTTAGGATAGTATCTTAGTGGGGAAGGGAAGTAGGGAGAGAGGACGTGCAAGTTTTCTGAGGATCTCATAGCTGGCAACACTGACGCAGTGGTCTGAACCCAGGGCAAGGCTTAGGGCGAGGAAGATTTGGGCGATGCTCTGGTTTTGATTTCCTTTTGGACTCCCGTGGCGGACGTGGCTACTCTCTGCCAAAGTACCCTTTCGTCTCGAAGCCAGAGGGTGCAATCTGGCTCTTTCCAAGGGGGGCAAATCACATGGGCGACAGCAGTGCCCAAGGCTGCTGATTGATGCACTAAGCCCTCCCCCAGCAGTCACAACCGGGGGAGCAGGGTGCAGGGAGAGCGGGAGATAACTATTGATGTTGTCAGCGGTGCCGAGACTTAACGTATTGTGAGATATGGCAGCTTGTTTCCACGGGTGTTAACCAGCCTCTCCTGTCCCCTTCTTGTCACTGCCCAGTCCCTGCCACAGCCAATCTGTGTCCTAATCTCCATCAATTAACAAGAAACACTTTCGCCCCCTCACCCTCCTCCACCAAAACAGACACCCACCCTGAAGCCTGGGATAAAGAGGAAAGAGTCCCCCCAACCTCGACCCTCTCCCCCTTTACTTTCCACTAACTCAGCGCAACCAATTAGGCATCTGACACCCATACTGGCTGACAAATTGTTTCTGTCATCTGCTTTCTGTCTTTCATTAAACGAGAGGCGGAGGGGGGAAGGGAGAAGGGGGGGGTGGGAGATGTGATCTCCCATGCTTAGCGAGGCCAGATACATTAATTACAAAACGGCCATTTGCAGCATGAAAATGCATTAATTAAATTTATGCAATCATTATCTTTAAATAGTCATATCTTTAAAATAATCAGCCCTTCCTGAGTCTTCCCTCTCCTCCGCTAAGTATCTCTAATCCCTTTTCCAGCATTTATCTCTGGATCAGCAGTGGCTTGTATGCTTTTAAACTTCTGCATGCAGGAGATGCCTTGAAAACTCTGCTCAGGTAATACAGAGTGTGATACCTTCCCTCTTCCTCTTGGCCGTGCAATGAGGAGGACAGGCGAGGGGCACAACTGTACCCAGCAAGTCTGAGGATTCTCCATCACTTCAAGTCTTTTGATCGGGATGTCATCATCCAAGAGAAGTTGTAACTCAGTCAGGAGTTGTGAGGTTAATACTTGAAGGTTTTTGCTTGCATTCGTACAGGAGACCAAGCTATGTGTTGGTTTATGTACCCATTTAGAACAGGTGTTACTGTGTTTTTTTGGAAGAGGTTTAATTTCTAATGGGGTAACTACCCTTCAGGTTAGCGCAGACATCGTTTTGCCAGCAGACAGCTACCTTTCACCGGTATATCCTTTTCTTCTTAAAAATCATTTTTAAAGCAGTAGATGTCGTTAGTAAGAAAAGCAAGGATTTAAAAATAAGGAGTTTTGTTCCTCTGATGTTTAAGATTGCTTCTTGGTGGCTTCTGTCCATCCTGCTGCATTGAACGAGTAGCTCTTGTAAGAAATGATATTATTATGAGCTCAAGTCTTGAACAAACTGTTCCGCACAGTATGGAGTATTAGGCATATTACAATTGTAAGAAAGTATTTTTACTTTAAGGTACTGTCAGACATAACCAAAACTGAGTTTTAGTTGACAAATAAGAAGGAAGCACCATTAATGATGTGCTAGCCCAGGTGTTCCTTTTACTTTTACACTGTCAGTTTGTCGTTCGACACTAATAGGCTTCACCTATTAGTGATGGCTAGTCGAATAATCACTGCAAGTTTATAAAGTTTTGTGCTGCTCTTTGGCGGACCCCAGGGGTAAGAGTAGTGCCAAAACACCCAAGGAACATCCTCTGCTCAAATGAGCACCTGTAGCACTACAGGAAAACTCCAGTCAAATAGCTTTTAGAGAGCTGGAGGGCTCAGAGACTCCAGGGATACTGAAATTCTTTAGGGCTTTCTTATCACTTGTGGTTAAAGATTTTGTTCAGCTCTTTGTGTGTCTGCATGGTTTTTAATAAATCCTCCGTGTTTTTTTTTTTTCCCCTATCCATAATGCCTAGTGGGCCAATTTCTAATTAGAAGTGAGCCAACATAGTCATATTTGTATCCAAACATCATGCTATGTTCATCTCGAGTCTTGAGTTTGAGATTAAGACCAGGTAGAATTTGGGCGAGAATTTGATAGGGACCGAATCCTGCCAAATTTCTCATATCTGAAGGGCAGAAATGAGCTCTGGGGTTTCAGAAACAAAACCAGCCAGTAGCTCTCCCGGCAGAGGAAGGTCCTCTTGACAGTCCGGGCTTCCTCAGCCTCCTTTTCAAGAAGCGCATAGTGAAACTATAAGCTGCTGGGATCCAGCGCTGTATGTACTTAGTCTGAAGTTGATTACATAGCACAGATAATGAATACAAGGGGCTCAGTTTCAGGGTGTTTTTACCTAGCCCTTCTCCGAAGATGGTACGTTTATGGAGAGAAAGAAGAAGCTTTACTTTGGAGCGCAACTGGGAAAGGGGTTGTTAGCTGAAACTTTCTCAGATGTAAGGGTAATCCTCTATTTAAGCCACCATTCTCAGCAAGGACCCCCAATTTCTTCTCTCATCTTTTCCTCCTATTTTTTTATACTAATGTCTCCACGCCAGCAGGCTCCAGGTCTTGGCTGCCATAGCTCCATTGGCCCAGAGTTCAGGTCCTGGGAGGGTTTTTGGACTTATATTTGTCACAAAAAAGTAGCTCCTCATGTTTGAAAATACCACACTGCTCCCTAGCAGCAGAAAGAAATCAAAGAGGAGCACACATGGCATTATACAGGGCAGCAAAAGGTGTCTTCCTTGGATTCAGGAGCTGTTATTTTCCTAGGTAGGGGTGGGGAAAGAAGAGGTCCTGCCTTTAAGGATTGGTCTCTGCGGTAGCCTCAGAAAATCTGAAATTAACTGAGGCGGCTCCCAGGCAGGAAGCAGGGTCTGGCTTGTTCATTCATTAGGGTGAGCTGAAAAGAGAAAGCCTCACCTTAAAAAATGCGCCGAGCCCCCTCTGGGAAAGCTAGGCACTGAGAGAGCAAATGAACAGGCAGCAGAGGAGTGGGCAGTATGGAGCACTTCTGGTTTTCTTCTTCTTCCATTCTTTTGCCAGCTCAAGTTATTAAGTGTATGGTGCGAGTCTAGCTAGCGTTGCACTTGCTGAACTTATCAGGGTTATTTCATCTCCCCATGACCTCTCTGTATTTACGATGGGAACCCTGGAGGCATTGGCTTTACTTGACTGGTGTATCTTACACTGCAGTTAAGCTGGACCTTAACTGATTACTGCCCTTGATTGATCAGAGAAAGAGGGAGGGGAAGAGAGAAAAAGAGAGAGGACTTCTAGAGCAGATACGCGGGACTATCAGTGCACCAAGCAGCTTCGCCTGGGGCGGGGATATGCCACTCGGGGGGACTCTTTGTAGTGCAGCTCCCTTTCACGTTTATAGATGCTTCCAAAAAGAGAGAGACAGAGAGAGAGAGAAAAAAGCAGGAGAGGGGGTGCAGGCAGAGGACTCAAAGGATCTCAGGAAATCTTGTTTGGAAGCAGTAAGTCAGCACCCGCACTCCATTACCAGTGTCCGCAGGGGGTTGTGATAGTGAGTGAGCACAGATCAGCTTCGCTGAGAATTGAAAATAAATAAATAAAGCGTGAGAGAGAAATGGAAAGGGAGGAGGGGAACGGAGACCTGTCTGTGAATTTTGGTTTGTCTTTGTTAATCTCTGCTGGCGTGGAGCAGCTGAAGGGAGAGGTCTCTCGGTGAGGAATGACAGAAGTTTATAAAACAGTTTTAATTTGCTGGGACTTAGCTGTGCTGCGTAATCTCCCCACCCTGCCATTATTCACATCAGGCAGACGCATAGCAGTAGATTTAGGGCTGATTTGGCAGGAAATCTTTATGTTTGTTTAGTTTGGGGCATTTTGAATCTCTCACCAAGCCCCAAAACCTTTTCCTTCCTCGCCTCCCATCAGCATGTCTGAGCTTACCCAAGAATGGGCAAATAGGGGCAGAATAAAAGGCGCAGCTGATCACCGAGCCAGCCCCTAAGCCCCGTGCTTACATAGCACAAGGTGAATTACCATGAGATGGGTTAGCAAAACACAAACAGCTCAAATGCTCCAAGAAAACCATTTTTGCAATCCTTACAAAGAGCCAACGGCTCTAATGGGTATTGAGATTCCTTCGTGGAGTGCAGTCTTCAAAAATGGATGCAGGCACAGCAGGCCAGGTCCTCAGCTGGGATAAATCAGCCTGCCTCCAGGGAAGGCAGCAGGCCAGGTACTCGCTCAGTGCATGCCCGGGGATGTCTCTGAGGAACCTGATTTTCAGAGGGGAGATGCTCAGCAGTGCCTGAAAATCAGGGCTTTGAAAGTTTCAACATGACAAGACACTATTCAGCCTTTTGGCTTGAGTCTCTTGCACTTCTGGGAGGGGGTGAGTCCATGTCTCTTGTTAATTTTGCTTGTTAGTGAAATCAGTACTCATAGAACTGGATGCTCCTTTACCTTAGATAGCCCACAGTAGCCTTTTTGTGTCCTGTCTGGTTATCCAGACTAATGAACGTTTTTCTGTCTGCTTTTATCTAAGTGATAGTAGAGTTTGGTGCCCTAACTCCATGTTTCTAGATCAAGCCGTTTTTAATGTAATTCCTGTGTGCAGCAATACCTCCCCTGTTCCCCTCCAAATTACACTTCTACTGCAAGATTCATCGTAGCCCTTACTGGGTATATAGCCCTGTGGTGCTTCTGATTTTTTTAGGTATTTCCACCACAAGAAGAGCCCCTTTCTCTTTCCCAGACCATCCAGGCAGGTCTAAGCAATTTCTCTTATCATTATAGTTAAGACCTCCCCCTTCTTTTGTATAGCTTAGAAACTTTTCTTTAGACCTTCTCCATAATTTGTACATCTCTACAGAAGCAGGGTGCCCAAAACAAGATGCAGTGCTCCAGGTGGAACCTCACCATAGCCTTGAACAATCAGGTAATAACTTCCCATCGCCTTTTTTCTAATCCTCCCCTTATGCAGCCTGCGTTGGCCTGCTTTGCTGCAGCTTACCATTGCACCCCCAACTCCATCTCCTCACCAGCACAACTCCATAAGCCCTCTCCATCATTAGTGTGTGGCAGTTCTTCATCCATCAAGTGACCAGGGTCACCTTAGGATACAAATACTCATCTCCATTTCACCCGCTGTGTTCTAGACCACTCCCTTATGGCACTGAAACATCCCTTCAGATGTTTTAAGTCATTGAAAGGCATTGATGATATTTTTGGTTTTACTGTTTGCTGGCAAACTGTACTGCTGTTCAAGCACAGACCCATAGCTACCATTTCTGATCGCTTTAAAGGGATATAGTATGACCTGCCCCATACACACCCGAAAGGATTCAGGAACATTGCTTTCTGTTCCTGGCTGAGCCTCTGACTCACTTAGTATGGCCTTGGGAGAGTCGTTTCACTTGTCTCCACATGTTTTCCCATCTGAAGTGCAAAAGATTACAAAAATGGAATACTTCTACTATACGACAGCAGTCAGGTCAGCCCCAGAGCCCTTCCATAGCAACCCTTTGCCATTTGTGGTGAGCTTGTTTGGCTTCTGTTTTATCTATATCTCTTCAATCTAAATACATGAGTTCCAGTAACATGTTGATTGCCATGGGAAGCAAACAGTTCTGCCCCGCTGCTTCTCAGGTTATAAGAAAGTCCAGGCAGAGAATACCGTAAGCATTCCCTTAATCAGTAGCCTTACTACTTCTTTCAAAAAACAGAAGAAGAATTTGGGTTGAATGGGAATTATCTAAAGCTTGTGAAATTGTGTTGGCTCATATTTATAACACTGTTCTGTTCAGCACTAGAAATCCTTGTTTGATGCTCAGGTAACATGCCGATGGGTGGATTATGAATGCCTTTACCTCAACTATCTTTTATAATATAAGCAACTCCTAGAACAAAGTGAATGCCCCGTTTAAATTAATGGCTAAACCTGAATTTACCAGGTGTACCTTACCGGAACCTGCGTTTCATTCCTGACGTTTCAAATCTCATTTAGAAAGCCTTATTATATTTACATCATGTTGAAATAAAACAAAATCTTCTAGGCTATGAGATTTCTTTCCATTCCTTCTGCTATTCAGACCGGCAGGCGCTGGATCGAGTCCGTTCGGAGGCCATCCATGCCATTTTCATTGGTCTTGTGTCCCTGTAATTGCGTTAAGACAGTGAGGTAAGGCTGGGGCAATGGAGTGAAGCATCAGATTCCTTACATTTTAACCCGCAACAGAGGCACAGAGTTAGGCTACCTTTTCATTTGTGCTAGTGAAATTAGGAGTGTGCCTAGTGGAAATTAGTGGAGTAACCCTTATGGAAGTCTAATGTAGAGTTAGCTCCCTGGGCTCTGAAATCTATTTGGAACTGGCATTAGACTGAGGGGACTACAGTTACCTGGATCAGACATTTTCTAGGGGCAAGAAATATGAAGCACTGTCTAGTCTGCTGCTCCTTGGCCTGATTGCGAAGTCAAATTTAATAGGTATACTTACTGGATTGATTTGGCATATTGGGATACAACTCAGCTGGGCCTAGTGATTTAGAAAATATTCAAAATTAATTGCTTGGTTTTGTGAGTGCAGTGTTAGTGATTGCTACATAAGTCATTTTAGTCCTACCTAGGGGCATATTTGCATATATTTATCCTCCTTTCAAGTGAAGATCTTTGGGGAAACCGTATTTATCTCCTCCCAACCCTTTCTTCAGCTTTCAGTAGTCCTACAGTCACCTCTTCATTTTGTTTCCACTTAATGCATGTGTAAAATAATCTACTCTTCCTCTTCCCACCATGTGAAAATGAATCCACAGAGATCAAAAAGCATTAATATGAGGAAGGGTTGGATTCTGCAAGAGAGAAGGAAAAGATTAGCTGAATGGGTTGCAAAATGAAGATGGAAAAGATTAAGCTGGGTCCCCACGAAGTAGCTAAGAACACTCTTGGAGAGCAGAGAATGACCTACACAAAGGAAAAGCTGAATTAACTACAAATGACAGAGACATCAATCCCTCGTGGAGGAACTCAGAGCAGAAAAGGAACTTGCTCCATGTAGCTAGTAAGACCGAAATATCCAGCGCGTTTCCCAGCATGGTTATCCAGGCCTCTGTTAGACTTTCCATTCCCTGTTGACTGGTGTAAATGGTGGCACAACAGAAGCTGAAAAAAGAGGTGGAGAGATTTCAGCCTACAAACGGAGTCTGCACAACAGGAAATTTCCTGCTGCTTTTTGTCTGCCTTAGTATTAAATATTCCAACGGATAACATTTCCAGCCTTTCTCTAAGAGAGAGGATTTCTACCTCATCCCTAGGAAAATACTGCCGCAGCCTCGTAAATGCTACCCGCTGCCAGGAGATCCTTCCTCAGGTTTTCCCTTTTCAGTTTCTTTGTGGTGTCCCTTGGGACAACCTTCCTGCTTCTTTGGAGTTAACACCCTTCAGCAAGTTGCAGATTATTACATCTTCCCTTTAGTCAAAACTTAGCCAGGCTCAGCAGTTTCTAAATGCAGCCTTTTTCTAATGCAGCCTCTGATTTGTGATGCTTTATGCTATGTCAAATTGGACACCCAAAATGGAGACACACAGAATCAGGGGGTCAGTTCAGAAAACGCTGTCCTTACACACCTGCCTCCTGACCACTTTGATTGCTTGAATCTGATCTCCTTACAACCGACATGTGTCTTTCTGATTGTGGGATAGCGCAACGTCACACGCTGGCTGGAGCTATAGATATGAAGTCCACTGCATCTCAGGGCCTGACGTCTCCCTCGGCTGGGTTTCTTTGCAGGCCTGGAGCAAAGCAATAACGTGGTGCAGGAGGTGGAGGGACTCTGAGGAGATGTAGCCTGTCGACAAAAGGCTGGCCTGCCCCGGTATCTCCCGCAGAGCTCTTGAGCAGGCAGAGCAGGGAGCGGCAGCAGCCGGAGCTGAGCTGGCAGGTCTGCGGCCCGTACAGCCTCCACGCCAGCAGGACAGACTCTTGGCCATCTGACCGAGTGGCTAGAGTTAGGTGGGGACACGGGCAGCCCAGTAACCCTAGAGTAGGGGCGGGATGCCAGCTGTTGGGGGCTGGCAGCAGGAACCCCCGAGTAAGTGGGTCTGCTGAGGGGATGCCATTCTTCACATTTCTGTCGCTTACGAAACTTATCTGTTGTCCTTCTCCCCTCCCTGATGCACACACCCCCTTCTCTATCTAAGCAGTATCGCTCGCTATCGCTTGGCTGTCCCTCCGGCCCCGCCTGCCCCCCACAACACACCCAATCATCCCCCCACAACCTCCAAACCTAAAATCTGGAGGCCTGATTGCACAGATTGAAGGCCCTAATTGCACTTCCCTTTCCAAAGCCGCATTCGTTTATCATAAAGGGTGCACATTTCCCCTGCTACAGTTTCCACGGCCAGAGGCCCTGAGGGCCAGCTCAGAAATGGAGGGAATTAATTACATTTTTTTTAACTCCCCTTCTTTTAAAGTATGGGAGAGAGTGATGAAACGTCCCGCAGGGGGGACGGGGGAAGCTGCAGAGATGAGGGTGGGGAGGGAGGCAGCAGCAGGAGGCGAGAGGGGCTGGCTCTTTCATCCAGGAGGGTCCTTTGTGCATTAACCTTGGTCTCCCCAATGCATCAGGACCCCTACTCCCTCTCTCCCATGACAAATGACCTCCTAAAAGGGTAGAAACAAGGCTAAAGACTCCTAGCGTGGTGGCTGTTATTGACTTACCCTGAAGTGCAAGCTCACGCCAAGCCTGTGACTGATTTGGGACAGCAGCAACGGAAGAGGAGATGGGGAAAGGGAGAGAGACAGCTGATGAGAGGGAGGGGAAAGGGAAGGCTGTCAATCACTATGATTGACAGGTAGCAGATTTCCCTCCAGATAAAACCTTACAGATGTGAAGAGGGTATTGATTTTTAGTTAGTGATGATAATGCACCAAGAAGTAATAAATTATAACGAAGCAAGGTCAAAAAGAAAAGGTAAAAGGACTTTGCATTCTTGAGGAAGAGATTTCTCCAGATGCCCCAGACTTTCCTAAGTTCAAAAGTTGGCTGGAAAATGAATTTATCCAGCTGAAACAAGAACTCAAGGTAATTCCGGCCTACTGAGGCTGGAGGGCTTGTGTAGGGTTACCCATGCTGGGTGGCTGTATAGCAAAGGAGGAGTAGAAATCTCTGGTTTGCTCTTGTTATTTCTAACACCTTAACACCCTGGGGTGGGGAAGATGGGATGCTGTCCTCTGATAAAGTTGTGCAAACAGACTCTCAGGAGAGCCCCGTCCCAAATTGCTCGCAGCGTACCTAGGAAAGGCAGACGTTTCCCACGGTCAGAGTCGCCGAAGAGGGAACAGAGGCCTTTGGGGTCCCTGGTTCACTTGAGCACCGCAGTCTGTAGCCTCTCCGGGAGCTGAACTCCGCCTGCTGATCTAAGCTAATCTGTAACGCAGGCCATCCCACCATGATGGCAGCTTCCACTAGGGATGTACGTCCCTTAGCCACCTTCCAACCCCCACCCTCAAACCTCTGTATAGTTACACGTCCGTTCAGCAGCCTGGTGTCATGATGAAATATCGGCATCCTTCTGTTTCACTATGGATTTCCAGAGGGAAATTTAGCCCATCTTTTTCAGAAGTGGGTCTCAGGATGGGACAAACTGTCCTTCGGAAGTGCCAGTCTCTCCGTAGAGGGATTCTAGAGGATTCGCAGAGCCTAGGAACTTACCTTCACATGCCTAAGGTTAGTTGAGGTGGGTCCTAGCTTACCTGACTTGCACAAGCTCTTGCAAGTCAGTAGCAGAGCTGGGATTAAAAACAGTCTTGATTATGACTGATTAAAGCCAATTACTGTCTTTAGTAGGATTTGTGCAAGCATGCTCTCTAGTCTCAGCTCCTCTGAATTTGAAGAGTGTGAATCTGGGTTTCATTTATAAAAGTTGCTTTACATTGCCCTTTTTTTTTTTTAAAGGGCCTTAGCAGAAGTGTTAATATGGCTTCTGCTTGCTTTAAGACCCTTTTATTTTCCTTGAGTAATATAAAGCAGCTGACTGTTTTGGGGAGATGGCCATGAGGAAGAGTGTTTGAAAATCCTTCAGTCTCTAAGTAGTTCCAGTTGGCCTTTGTTTTATTGCGGGCGATTTCTTCCTGCGCCTCCATGGGTTTGCTGCAGGACAGCAAATGCCCAGTCAAGCAGCACTGCAAGACCTGGACAGCTCAGGAAGGAGCAGGAGGAGAGATGGAAACGTCCTTGCTTTGCGCTGGCTGAGCTGGAGCTTTCCAAAAACAGCCAATGGCAGCAACTGTGCATGTAAGAAGGATGTTTATTGTTTTAAACATCTGATTCTACTTGTGAATTTAATGCAATAATGCGTTGTGGCTGCCATATACACAAGTGTCCTGGAGCAGGGTGTACATAACACCTAGAGCTGAAGGGATGCTGAAGCTGTGAGGGATTTCTGCAGCTAGTGGGATCGAGGGACAGAGAAGGAGAGTTTGTAGATGAGCCAGATCAAAGTTCCTGACCCAGCTTTAGAGGAAGGTTGCAAATAACTTGGCAGCTGGAAAAACCTCCCTTCAGGTTTCCCCACTGCCTAAGCCTTGAGGCAGAGAGGGTTACACTGCAGCCACAGAGAAAAGCGGGACAGCCTTCTTCTCATATTAATCCACTCCAGCTCTTTCTCGTGTATTTAAATGGCAGTTTCCTTTTTCCATCCCTCTGTCTTTGTACTGTCATGGGGCAGGGAGTCCCACAGGCATGTTTTGCACTGCATTGTGCCTAAGCAACTGCATCTGGACGCCTCCAGTCTTGATTGCTGTGCATAGAGGGTCTAGATAGCTGGAGGCAATTTAGACTCGCTCTGGACCACAGTGTGCCCTGCAGTGTAGAGACAGCTAAACTAGGTTTAAGTTTTGGGGACCAGGGGCAAACTAGCTGCTGCAAAAAAGCTGCTGCTCAGTGCATGCTGAAAAACCTGAAGAAAAGGATAAATGAGCCCCATCTGAGCTGCCACCACTGCGCTGCTTTTACTTAGCTTGCTGAAAGCTACTTTCTGTATTTCTGTACTGCACTGCAGACAAACCCAGTGGCGGGGGTTATAGTGATTTTCCAGACTTTTTAACTAACCCCCCTCACCAGTACCTCCCTACCACCTCCTCCTCCGCAGGGGTCCAGCCATCCCTGCTCTGCGAATTCCCCTTGCAGACAAATGCCTGAGAAGGATCTTAGGCCGGCTGAGTCGGGAGGTGGCATTACATCAAGGGAAAAGCGTCTTTGCGGGGCTCCCGAGTCCTTCCGGGGGGAGGAGAAGCTTTAGAAAGCAGAGGCCAGCGAGTGGCTCCTCATTCAGCCTAAGCTGCCGCTCGGGCAGGAAGGGGAGGGAGGAGGGGACGAGGAAGGTGTCAGGGTGAGCAGGAAGGGGAGAAGCCGCTCTATACAACCCCTCTTGTGTCCTTCCAGAGAATGTCTCCTCCGCACAATAGCTCACCAGGCCACTGGTGGGGGATAAAGGGCTCATTTTACCACTTGCCAGGCTCCAAATATTTCCAATTTGCCACTTTAATTGATGTCAATAAGGTTATGCTAAATTTGGAGATTTTCAGCAGTTCAGCATCTGAGCGCTGTCCCAGCCCCCCGAGGTGACTGGCTGTCCCCTCTCCCTCCGCCTTTCCCCAGCACAATACCACAAGCTGCACTCAGCCTGCGGCAACCGAGGAGAGCAGCCGAGGCACATCACAAGTTCCCGTCCTTTCCTCGCCACGGCCCCGCTTCTGCAAACTCTTTACGCTCTCGACTTGGCAGCCCTGCGGTAATTTTGCTGGTTGCAGAAGGCAATTGCATTAAAGTGCTGGCAGGAACAGGGGCCTTGCGTGAAGGCCTGTAGGCAGTGGCTTACCCCAAGCTCACCCTCAAGAACAAATCTGGCATTTTTGCTGCAAAGGAAAACAAAACCTTAAGTTCATCTGTTTCAGGTCTCAAAGCAGGAAGATCGCTTGCATGCAGATTTAATTACATTTTAAAACCAAGAGTTATATTGAAATGAGCTGAACCAGGACTTGTAATCCTTTCACTGATAGACATTTGGGGGTAAAGAGAACTTTGGCATTTCAGTCCCTAAGTGGGTCTCCACTGCACATCACAGTCTGGATCTTGGAAAAATTATCCCAGCCTTTTAGGATAAGAAGGGACCGTTCTGGTCATTGGGTCTGACTTGCCACATTAATACAGGCCCTTCCCGGGCTTGTGCCTGGTTTATTCTTTTCTCCAGTGTTCATTCTGAAAAGCACAGCTAGTGATCTTGGTGGTGAGACTGATGGGAAATTAGCGCTAGCTCATGTTGTATTTGGCAGGTCAGCAAAGAAAGACCAAAGACTGAGTGTGCCATGAAGAATAAACTTCTCAGTTATCCCTTTCAAGGTCTTTCAAATAAAGCACTAGGCACAGGGAAGCCCTCCAGAGGGTCTGTCTGTCTTCATTAGCTGGAAGTAGGCCTTCATTCTCCAGCCTGGCCAAGCCTATGCTGATGTAAGCACCACTACATGTAGATTGGCTCTCCCTGGTATGTATGAAGGCAGCTGCAGACGTACGCTTTCTCCTCCACCTGTTGACGTGTCATGTCTTGTTTTTCTCCAGGTGATGAGCATTCTGAGCAACCCCAGCGGGGTTCCTCCGCAGCCGCAGGCTGACTTCTCCATCTCTCCCCTTCACGGTGGCTTGGACACCACCAACTCCATCTCTGCCAGCTGCAGCCAGCGGAGCGACTCCATCAAGTCCGTGGACAGCCTCCCGACTTCACAGTCTTACTGTCCTCCCACCTACAGCACCACCAGTTACAGCGTGGACCCAGTGGCTGGCTACCAATATGGACAATATGGACAAAGTGAGTATCTGCTGAGCTGGAGAGTTTGCTGAATGTATTCCCTCTGCAGAGGGAAGAGGAGAAGAGAGGGAGGGATCTAACAAGGTATGGATATGGTCTTGGAATGGATTCCCATGAAAATCTATCTATCTAGAGAGAAAAAACGGAATCTAGTCACCAGACACAGATGGAGCTTGCTCCATACCGCCTGCCCAGCATCCTTGCAGTCCACTGCAAAAGTCCTGAATAAAAGAGTTTAGGTAAAACATTTATATTAGAAAAGAAGGACAAGCATTTCCAGACCTCTCTCCTTTTCCCTCTCTAATTCTTGCTTCTCCCAAAGCCCTACAAAATGTTCACCCTGCTTCAGCCAAAGGAAAGTTGGGATTTTAAAGCATCGCTTGGTGATGCAGAGCAGTATGCGTCACTTCCTCCCATGCCCTCTGTAAGGTATGGGCTGGGTCCACGTTTAGAAGCTTTGCTACAAAAGCCATTAAGCCAATCCCTGCCAGCTAGGCTTGGTTCTAAGAAAGCTGAAGTGAAGCTGGAATTGTAACCCTGAACCTAAACACCAGACCTGAAAGGCGGTGTCTGGAAGGGTCTGTTTCTCCTCCCAAATGGCTGGGTCACAAAAACCAGCAGCGAGCCTGGCAAAGGGCTCACCTGCCAGTGTTAAACTAATAATAAGTGTGGTGTTGTGAGAGAGTGATCCGCGGAGGGTTAAAGGTGCATCCTCTTCCTCCGGGAGTGCTCCTGCTTGCCCATAGCTTGTCCTCAGTGACCTTTCCTTCCATTTGGCTGTGGCTTTTTATTCCTCTCTCCGTCACAGCCCTTTAATGTCTTTAACTTCTACAGCTAAATGAGAACCGGCTGTGGCGGCAGACGGGATCAATAGCAGCTTCCCCCCCACCCCTCCTTTTTTTGTATTTCGGGAGTTTGATCTGTGACCCCTTGACCTTCCCCTCGCTTCTGGATGTGAGGCTGGACACACGTGCTATTGATAAAAATCTTAAACAAATTCCAATACCATGTATTTCCAATAAAGATTCCCTTGGGCAAGACGTTAGTCACACCCATGTGTGTAAAAAATAAAATAAGGAGGACAAACTAAATTTTCTTAGAGAAGCCAGCAAAGGAGAGAGAAAGAGAAAGAAGGGTTTGTCTTGTTTTGCTGCAGGAATTTTTACTTGGGCCTCTCCTTCTGCTCATGAAACACTGTTCACCCAGCCCTGCTTAATGTTACTTGCTCCCCTTTCCTGATTTGTGTCATACAGCTCCCTCTTTTCTGCTGGAAACCCATTCGGTTTAGAAGTCCAGATCTGAGATTAGGGTTCAGTCCACGGGGCTTGGTTTGGAGCAGGGATGTTTTCCTGTTAATAGTCACGAGAATGCAGGCTGCCAGATGTCCTGTGCCCAGCAGCAAGTCTTGCATGGTCGGTAGAGTAAGTCCAGATGTGTCCCAGTGCCCAGAGATCCAGGTAGCAAGTCATGAAGACATTCTTCCTGCTGGGGCAATGAAGGTAGGTGAGAGCCTATGTACACACACCATCCACAGTGATTCCCACCGCAGGGAATTGGAGTCACACCCAGCACGATGGCAAATCTTAGAGACAAAGCCAATGGCAGGTTGCATGGCAGATGCAGCACAAACCAACTCTAACTGCTCTAAGGTAGGATCGATACTAAACAGCACATGCTGCATGTGTGCATGTATGTGTATAGATATGTGCATTTACAGGCCACTAAAGGCAATACACAAGTCCGTTTCACTATGAACAGTTCTTAGAGTGAGCCCTATTTGTAATAACCTTTACACCAGGAAACATTTTTCACTGGTAATTAGTCCTGTCAGAGCACACACTTACATGAAGTTGACCTTAATATAATACTTTTTATCATCTTTCTCAGTGCATGTTGTATTTAGCCAATATTTTTAATTCTCTTGCTTTTTAATTCTTTACTGCTTCTTTTCAAATGTTGTTTAAACGCTGATCAGTGTGAGGTGACCTCCACAAAAGCACTATTTATTGATGTTCAGTTCAAGTCATGTGTTTCTTCATCATACTGACACGACCAAAGATTATCAAAGCCCTTAATGAACACTGCAATGTAATAAAAATTAGGTTTTGTTATGGTGAGGGTAGGCTCCGTATAACAGAGGACATCATCAGGGCTTGTCCAGGACATAATGGAGAGCTCTCTAGCTTCAATAGGCTTTGGACCCAGCCTGCAGAAGATCTCTTTCTCTTCCCCTGTCTTGCCTTCTCATTCTCTGTTTCAGAAACACACACACGTACACGTACATGTACACACTTTCACTCTCACATAAGCAAATAAACACACAGAGCACATTGGTATGTTCCTCTCTTTGGTTTGGCTTTCACTGTGTGTTAAGCCAGCAAAACACGTCTTTGACTTCTGGCGTGAGGTGCCCTGGTGCTTTTGAACTCTTCCCACAGACACAAAAAGCAATATTGGGAGAATTTTGTTTAGGGGGAAAGGGTTGTCACTACAGCTCTGACCATTCGCCTTGCTCTCCCTCCTTTCCTAAGTATACATCTGAACTCACCCGGAGCATAGATATCAAGGTGGCTACCTAATAGCAGAGGCACCAACAACCACACACGCATGCACATGCCCAACACATCTGATGAGCGAATTTGTTCTTCTAGCCCAGCCTGCACCTCCAGCCTTTCAAAGACATTGTATAATGTGGTTACCTGAAATATCAGGGGACCAAGCTGATAAAGACGGGACAAGAGCCATAGCTTGGGGGGGTCTTTTCCAGCCTTTGTTTCTATGTACACATCCCCTGAAGCTAGAGGCACTGTAGCACAACTTTATGGAGCCTGGTGCTTGAGACAAGCTACTCCAGGACCCCAGTCTATGAGGCACGCCAGGCAGCATGCCATTTCCAGTTTCCTAGCTCAGGTCCCTTCAGACTCTGAGGCCTGCTGAAACTGCACTCCCCAGCAGGTCTCACTTCAGCCCTTTGCACATCTGTGTAACTTACCCTGTGCCGAGTCCCCTCGCTCCTGTGTGCCAGCCTGCGAGTGCTTACATAGTCTGTGCTGTCCCAGCCGGTGTGAAGCAGAGATGCCAGATTAATGTGGTCCTTGTGGTTCCCAAAGGCCGGAGCTGTGTTAATGATGCCGGTGATGGAACGCAGAAGCGTGAAAGGAATTCTAATAGATATGACAAGTCTAATAAGAATTTGTGTCTGGAAGGGACCTCCTTTGGGGCAGACGTCTGACAAGACGTTGATGGCTGAAATTTGTTTACTCATTGGCACCAATTGTAGATCTCCTGCCAGCTCCTTATTAATCTAATTTGAGACATTAAAGCTAGCGAAAGGGAGAGACTTTGACTGAAGCTCAGCTAATGAGCAATGTCACCATCCTGCCCCAGTCCTCTTCCCCCTCAGACCGTGGGGCAATCAGTCAAGCTGGGATACAGGTTCTCACATCGCCTCAGGAGTTGTTGCTATGTTTTTCACGAAGACGGAGCTGAGCAGAGCGGTTTCCCTTAGGAAGGGTGGATGAAGGCAGGCAGCAGAACTGTTGGAGATGAGTCAGCATCCAGTGGAGGAGTCAGATTCAAACCACATCCAGACTGGTGAGGTCCCACTGAAATCTCGGAGATCATGTACCCTGGCATCACTGGGAGAAGCTGTTGGCTTTGCACCTGTGTGAGACGACACAGGGAGGTGAGGACTGAAGGCTCATCCCACTGGCTTTCTGCTCAGGCTCATCATCAGGCAGCTCCCCTGGAAACACCATTTTCCGTGACAGAAGCCTCTCTGTTTTCAGTAGGTCCACAGAGAGATTCCAGGGACTGCAGCAGTGTGTTCAGAGTTCTCCGCACACCGCAGCTGCACTTAAACCCAGAGGGATCTGTTCTGCCAGGTTGCTCTAACAGGACCATCGTCCGTTCATGCTCTTTCCTGGGTATAGCTGTCGGTGCCTGTGCAACAAGGCCCTTGTGTCTGTGACAACCACTACATTAGGCCCCTCTTTCTGAGAGTCAGTCTGCAGGGTCTATTGGTTACACTCTTTGATGCCAAATGCCTCACTTCCACCAAATCCTAATCCTCATGTTGTGTTGTTTTCTTACCCTCCTTTTTTTTCCCTCCTCTGTAGCCGCTGTTGATTATTTGGCCAAGAACGTGAGCCTGTCTACACAGCGTAGGATGAAGCTGGGAGAACATTCAGCCGTTCTGGGCCTCCTACCAGTAGAGACAGGCCAAGCTTACTGAAGAGTCCGACTGTGCCAACAACCCACTCCAGCAACTTGGTGCCACTGGAGAAAACACCACCAGCCTTCCAGGGATCTACCTGTACCCGGACCCTCCTCCTTCCCAATTCCCTTCCACCTTGCACCAACTTGAGCTGTGAAGGAGACGGGAAAGAGGGGGAGGGCTCTCCAAGTATCTGGCTCCTCACAGAGCACTCTTCTCAGAGGCACACCTGGCCCCTATGACCTGACTCCTCCCATGGCCAGAGACAACGGGTTGGGTACATTTATTAAGCCTGAGTTTGTGCCCTCCCTCCAACCTACCTGGCCAGAATGGCATTTTGCCCACACTTAAGGACTTTCCATTGATCTAGGTAGTTGGCATAGTCAAAGCCAAATTGATCTTTTTTTCTTTGTAAAAAAAGAAATGTTTCATTTTGTTTCCTTTTCTTTTCATTGCTGTAAATTTGATGAATGTTGTATAGGAAGGAGTAACCAAGCTGATCGTTAAGGGTGATATAATTTTGGGACCACAGAAGACCTATGGACCAAATAGAAGAACTAGTTTAAAAAGAAACACACAAAGACAAACAAAAACAAAAAACACAAACATAAATTAAAGTGACAGCAAATTTCCCCACCCTACTCTACCCTTCTGTTCTCACTGATGGCTTCCCAAAGCAGGGTCGAAGCAGGCCAGATTGCTGCTAAGCAGGGGCAAGATGTAAGTCCATCCAGCCTGGGACCTCTGGAAAGCGTAAATGTAAATTGCCGCATGAGGACTGGAGATTCTGGGCACAGGCATGAGCAACGTTTACTTTTCCTCTTAGGGACCAAGTTAGACCTGATTATCGCTGAAATTATTGGCATCAGACAGCAGCATCAGGAGATGTGATAGCAAGCCCTGGCCTTGTGCGCACAGAGGGAAGGCATGAGATGCATCTGATCACGTCAGAGGTTTTGCCCATCCGGTCAAGAAAGGTGAGGGCTGTCAGAGGTCCGTCTTTCACACAGCACCCATGAAGGTGGAGAGAGGCTGGCCGAGAGAGCAAAGACAGGAGAGGGAAGAGTCAGAAGATGTTAGACGCCTGTTCAGAGGGGCCAGTTTGCAAAGCCAGGTTCTTCTGCAAGTAAGGGGCCATCTGAAAGAAAGGGTGCTTGTTCTGAAGGTGCTTTCTCACAGCTGCCTCCAACTGAGGGATAGGATGTGGATTTGGAGTCACAGTGGAGACGACCTGAAGAGCCTGTCTCAAACTGCAGCTAGGAAGAAAAGGTGCTCCCAGCCACAGTGTTGCACCTATTTGTACTGCAGAGAAAAGGATCATATACCTTACCGATGGCATTCTTTGTCCTCTAAATGCTTGCCCCTAACCACCCTCCCAGCTCTTCCCCCACCCCAGCATTTTGTGTACTGTTCTGTGCAGTTTGATCTCTCAGAGCCTTCTCTCTGCTTTCTATTTCAGTGGTGGAGCCTCTCTCGCTCTAAGCCAGATCTTGTTCTCTGGATTTATCGTCACCTCTGTTTTCTGTAGCAGCCAGTGCTCTCACTTTTGTATCGACTCACAAGTCTGCTCATGACACTGCTCAGATAAAAGCAGTCAACAATAAGAGGTTATTGCTAAGTCATGAACCACAAGGATTTTTAAACAGTTTCCCTTTTGGATGTGGTAATGATCCCTGATGATTCTTAAGCCGATCTCTAATGCTAAAGATTTCTTTCCCTCTTCTTCCTGTGTTGAGAGGGCTCGTTTCAAGAGCACACGGAGATTTGACCTGGAGAGAATGAGGAAAGCTGCCACTGAAATCCCCACCCTGATGCACAGAATCCGTGCCAGCCAGTAGCTGATCTGTAAAGTCCAACGTTGAAAAAACTGGCAACAGGCAGTACGTAAAGTGATGCATAGAGTGTTAGTGTTTGTAATGCACTTACTTTCAGCAGTGTTGGGAGAGCTTGGGACTCAAGAGAGAGATAAATCCCATTTAAGTTTAGATGACCCACAACATGCATATTTGTCAAGAGCTGGCATTTTCAATATGTGTTTTATATCTACTTTAGGATGACAAGTGTCTGCTTTTATCCACTGACTATAATGGGGGAGCACACGGTCAGCTGAATTCTGGCGTAGTATATGCCTCCTAGGGCCAGGTTGTTAAAGGAGACACTTCTCCTGAGCCCTCTTCTGTTGCTGCAGCTTCCTCACTTCTTTGCAAACAATCTGATCTTGTTTTTGCAGCTGAAACAACATTTTTCTGGGGAACTATCCCCTGCCTTGCCCCTAAAATCATTTATCATGAACCACCAAGCTGCTTTCTCTTGAGCCGTGTGGGCAAGTACCTGTTCTGACCAAGACAGAGTTTTGCTTCTTACGTTGCCCAGCATCCTATCAGATACCACATATGGCTTTCATCAGCTTTGCTTTATGGGTGTAACAGAGCCTGCTCTACATTCCTAAAAGCATATTAATACATAAGCTTGACCATTCTGCCTCTCACACACTCACATGCACGTTTCTGTGCAGGATCTGGAGGGGTGACAGTTACATCCAGAGAATGTATTGCCATCCTTTATGCAGCAGAGTCTCAATTCAGGCTCTGCGTGTCCAGCTGTATCGCTCATAAAGCCTCCCTCTAACCGCAAGAGACTTTCCTTGGATCACAAAAATTTTGAAGCGCTTGAAGCTTTCATCCTTTGATTCCTTTCTCAGGGCAAAATATAGCACCTGCAGCTGGATGAATAGGTGAGGCCAAAGGAACTGATTTCCTTGAGGTGACTGAAGAGCGAAAATGCGTTGGACCAGTAGCGTTATCTGAAGCGCTCTCCCTGCTTTGTGCCAGTTGGCGCTCTGGAAAAGAAACAAAAGATGTTTTTTTTATGTCGGTTTTGCTTTAGATCTGATACAAGGAAGAATTCCCTTTTGAATTCCAGTCCTGGCTTAAATGTCATTCCCAAGAACAACAGCCTTCAGCCACATCTGAACCGGGCGATCAAGGGTGAAAGCAAGAGCGTCTCTGTGATAAACACTGCTCTAGAGATTAATGACTGAAAACCTGTTAGAATTTGCTCCTGTATCTGAGTATCATTCAGAACTGACTGCAGAAACAACAGAACATATGATTTTCTTGCATGCTACAAATAGTATTTAACGAGAGGCCAAATGATGATAATCACCCAGTCTGGGAACACCTTCGGATCTACAGCCTGGTGCGTCTCCTTGCTCCTGGGAAATGGAATTTGTAGATAGTGATGTTGGTCCCATGTCTGACCCGGGCATTTGAAATCCTTTGTCGTATCCCTGGTACTTTATATCGCAAGTACTCAGCACCATTTCTGACCAAATGCATTCCTAGCTGCCTGCTAAACTAGAAGGAAAGTTTCAGTTTGTGATGAGAATTGCTTGTCTGCTGCTCCCGCTAGCAAAGGCCTATCAGCTCTCTTTTCCCCACCGTTATTTTTCTCATATTCTCTAGTGTGTATGGGTGAATACGCATGCACAGAGCCGCCCGTCTGCTAGGCAGCCCTGGACCGTGGACAGTTGGTCCTAGTATAGCAAGTGCGTTCTTGAGGAGGACTTCAGCTGAGCTCAGATCCAGAGTGCAAGACTCTGGAGGTAAAAAGTCTTAAAAAGAGGGAGCACCGTAGAAAGCTGTTGGCCGATTACCCTCACCGGAAAGTCCGTGAACACCCGGGCACTGCTGTAAATAGAGTTCTTAGAGGAATATGAAAAACGCCCCATGCTAGCGCAAATAGCTATTCTCTGACCTTTCCCTCGTGGTCGCACTTTGTACATTAGTTGGAAATTTGGTCATGTGCTGTATGTTTATAGAAAGTTGACTTTTTTTTATACTAAAAACACAGTGAGTGCCGTGCTAGTTAAAAAAAGGGGGAGGGGGAGGGCGAACTGTAGAAATTTGCCTGTTGTGTGTTTTCAAAATACATTCCAGAATCTTTGGGGTGGGATGGGTTGATTTGGGGATTTTTTTTTTTTTTTGGTTTCTTTATTTTGTTTTAAGGTACATTCATGTATGAAAGTCACAGTATTTTTTTGTTTCGTTTCATTTTGTTTTGTTTTATGGATTGCCAACCTCAGTTCTGCTGAAAAAAGAGACAAACTCGGGGGTAGGACGGGGAGGGGGGGACAGAACGGAGGGAGGTGCCTTGAAGGCGAAACAAACCCAAGCATGGAAGAGTAGCAATGGGCAGCAGACAAGCGTTGGACAGCGGGACCCTGAAGAGCGTGTGGTCGCGGTCGCTCGAAGCAGACCAAACAGGGACTGAGCAGATTATTTCTGGTGACTCTGAGGGTGCCTGGGAATCCCAAAATAGTTCTGCACCTCGTACAAACAAGCCAGCAAGCTAAGGGACACACTCAAGAGACGTTCTCTCAGGTTGATATTTCTTCCATGCCTGCGAATGAGAACTGACATCCCTGGGGGAAAGCAAAAACAGCGAGTGGATTTCTTTTACCTCCCCGCACCCCTTCCGCACCCCTGCCTTCACCTCTGGGCTCCGTTCTGAGAGCACGATGGACATTTTCTCACTGTGTCCAGTAACTCAGCAGATTTGGCTCCTGTCGCTCAGAGACTTTGTGTATTTAATGCTTCTAACCCGTCATCCCTAACACCTCCATATACCCCCCTGGGGAATATCTACATAGCACTATAGAACATTCCTTATTCCTAGTAACTGCGGATATGTTGCTTCTGTGTTTGACTCATAGCCATTTTGCTCCATGTGTATGCCTGTGTGTGAGTATGTGGGCGTGCGTGCGTGCGTGCGTGCGTGTGTGTGTATATATATAATCGCACCATAATTTATTCAGCTATATGGAGTAGTATAGTAGAAAGAGAAACTGGTATTTGCTTTAACTACCTGCTGCCTGTAGGTGTCTCTCTGTAACTCAGGCATAACTGTTATACATTAAAAAAAAAGGATTAAAAGTGTCTTTGGGTCACTTGTTTGCTTCACTCAGTTTACAGCATGCCAAGCACAGGAGAAAAAAAGTGTGTTGCAGGACAAAAACTGTCGATCTTTGCAAGGATCTGATTCCATAACTGCGTAATGTGAGAGTTTCGTAAGGACGCAGTGACGATCGTCTTTAAAACGGTCTTAATGCTCCTCCCATGTATTTCGGGATAAGCAGGTAGATGTGAAGGGAGCTGGCTCATTAAGAAAACCATTTCTTGGTTGGAAAGGCTGCCCACATACTTCCAGGATGGCGACAGCATCAGCCCCTAAATAAAATAGAGACAGTACATTTTTCAGCTGGATAATTTGGCTTCCCTTTAGTTAGAAGTGATTTTTTGGGGGTAGATCAAAAATCTTCACACACATACAAATAGCAGATGTTTTTGCTAAAAAGCAAAGTTTGCGTGTTTTATCATTTAACGTAAATGAGGAAAAAAAACTAGGTAAAT